GTCTTAACAATTGTTAATTAATAGTACTTACAAAATTATGCGCCTTTCCTTAAAATCGGAAAATGTAATAATTAGATTATTAGCAGTTTATAAAAAGGCTGTGTTGTTTATTACCATTTTTTCTCCAAAACGTACTGAAATTGAGTAATTTACTCTGAAATAAATTACTAAACAACATTGCTTTACCTTAGTGCCGAGGCACAAATATTCCGGCTCTCTTGCCGGAATTTGAACCAATATATTGTTTTTTCTGTCAACCTTAATTTTATAATTTGCATTGAAAACAACAACAATTTTACTCATGCTGTACCCGAGACCCTCTACATAACATGGCGCTAACGAATTCAAACAATTTCTACGGTCATTAAGTATTCAACATAATGGGGCACGAATATGATATTTAAACTCACTATCGGTTATAGTTTTAGAACTATAGAATAAAGGTATAGTTCTCATTTACTTTAGTAACTTCTGTTTATATATAGCTCTTTGTGATTAACGTTAATTGTGTTTAGAATGCTTAGTTTAATATATATAAAATTACATTTTTGAGAGCCATAACTTTTCATGTGGTCCAGCATCCGTTGATAAACTGATAAAGAAATATATTCTTTTAATAAATTTTAAAATATGGTGTTGACATTCATTTTTGCATGCACTTCACATTTTTCGCGCTATTAATTAGCACTTTTAGCTTGCATAAAATTTTTATTTATTTTGCTATATTTGTGTAAATGAGCTGTAAGAATGAAATATAAAAGTTTATTTGTCAATTGATATTATACTTATTGAATGTGACAATTGAGATGTCTTGACTATATCCACACTAAGGCAATAATAATATTTCTTACAAGAGAAATGAAATAAGATTTTAAAACAAAGTTTTGTCTTATTTCTTAAATTTTAACATCGGGAATGTATTATGTAAGGTTTTCGCAGTGCACTAAAATTCTTTTAGAGGTACTACCCCATTTGAGGAAGATCTATGTTTGAAGACTTCGAAGTTCTTTTTGCTTCGATTGCTTGTAACCAGCCGAGTTTAGTTTTGCCATTAACACATAGCTAAAGGCCTCAGTAGCCAGAGCTAGATCTATACATATTAATATTAGTGTTATAAACTAAACTATCATTATTAATAAATAAAATTAAAATCTATCTCTGTTCTAGTATCTCTATTCTTCATTTCTATGACTTTCTTTTGTCAATATATCAATATCTCGAGAAGTAAGCTAAGTCCGTGTAAAGCGTTGTAGTACGGTTGTTTGAAATAGCTGACTTTATCATATCGGCATATTAGAGAAATCAGAAGCGCACCAAAACAATCAAGAATTTTTGAAAAATCTTGGAATTAATTGTGATTCATACCGATTATCTATTATAAAAATTAATAAATCAATAAAATATCAATTTAATATATAAAAAATAATGTTTTACTAATCTAATGATATGAACTGAGAAGCAACTAAGTATTAGGAAGATCCCTTATTTATAATGGTAGATATAGTTAAATAATTAAAAATGAATTGTTGGATCACTATAATATCTCCCATATTTATCATATATTTTTTGCACATAAATAAATAGAGTTTTTTTAAAATAAATGAATGAAAATCAACTTCTGTTAAACTGTTTCCAGGCTATTGTGTTTTTGTTTTTTTGCTAACATTTATCATAAACAATTATATTAACAATGAAGCAGTTACTTTCCGGCCACTTAGTCTACGTGCCAGCCTCGCAGCTATTTTGCATATTAAAACGTATTCGTCACATATGTGGGCTTTCTGTCATTTTTAATTGGTTTATGCCCCGAAAGGCTCGAGCGACTTTGGAGTTTCTCATCTTAATTTTTTGCCTTCATAGACGTCAAACAACTGTCATTTCATTACCGCCAATGCCGAGGGGAACTCACAAACAAACATTATCATTAATTTATTATAATTTTTTACTTAAGTATCTTTTTTATTGCTATTTATTTTAGATGCATGTCAACTATTTAACATGCTAACGATGCCCAGTAAGGCAAATGTGCAAAATTTAAGAAAATAAATGAAGAGAAAAGAAAAGAAAAGAGATTATGGAAGAAAACAATAAGAAATAAAATAAAAAAATTACTTAAAATTAACTCGTAAGTTTTGTTGATTAATTAAATTCGTCAATAAATCAAAAGTCTGTTAAAATTTCTTTGTTCTTTCGAGCCAACAACTCGAAATCGCACTGGCAGTGTTGAAATATTGACACCACAGGTGATTTCGATTCGAACGTTGGCGTTTCTGTGAAGAGCGATCGACGGTGATGCCGATTAGACAAAAACAGGGAATTTTAGAAAGGAAACAGCAATCGAATTAAGAACTACGCTGAACAAATTACTAAAATTTGGAAATCCCGAAACGAGTAAATGAGTAATAATAAAAATCTCTTTCGTTCGAGCACAAAAAAGTCATTGAAAAAAAATCCCTGACATGGATACGGAATAATGGGTTTCGTGAATGTAATAATACTTCACATTTCCAATGCAAAAAGGAAATTTCATTAAAAATGTATTGATTACGAGAAAATTTAATTAAATTAATTTATCATTACTGTCCTAGATTTTCAGCCGAGGGAAGTCGCTACTGGCACGACATTCTAGGTAACCGGCTAAAGAGCTGGTTCGTCTCTACAGTTATGGTTAGGTAGCCTTTTTCAGCAGAACAGAATTGAGGTTGCTGGTGGGATTGCGTTATCACCTCAAAAAAATGGGTCTGTCCGAAGATATAGATTGTTGACTCCACTTAGAAGCAGAAGAGACTTCCAGTCAAATTCTCTTTGGCTGCTCAGCCTTGATCTGGGCCAGGATAAAAAAGTGAATTATGGTACAAAGTTTGCCTGAATCTAATGTTTCATTGCGAGATACACGCTTTCAAACATTGAATAAATACATAAGAAATGGGTGACAACTACTCCATGCGTTTTGGAGATGGAGGGTCGCTAATTGTGCCAATGGTTGACGTGTCCAATAGCTAGCAGTGTAGGGTGGTCGTCCAAAAAAAAAGCAAAATTGAATTGAATTTGTCGCAAAAATCAGTGTGACCACTTAAAATACATAAAATTTGTACGGATGTCGTATCCGTATTTGCATTAAAGGAAGTGGTCACTGGGTCGAGAACTAGTCTCCCCTTCTGATATTAGAAGTCCTTCAACGGCTGACATTCTGTCTTTCATTCGGAAGGCGGAATGACTTCTGTTCGGTAAGAGTTTATTGGAGCACAAAAAATCAACCATGGTTGATATCCGCAATCATACATATATTTTCTATATTAATGCTTTTCTAAAAAATTAAATGGGGTTTTCCTGAAAACCGACAGTGTGAACAGTCCAAATCACACATGCCCGGGAGCAAGCTTGCTTCTTTAATATCTTAAATTTCTTGCTAAATCTTAAATCGTTTAACAGAATTTAACAATTTAAGGTAAATAATTTATTTTCAGTACAAAAATATATCTAATGAATCTTTAGATGGGTTATTTCCGAAGACCTTTACGGGGGCTTTTTTACCAAATCTGAGTTGGACATGTCACCTTCTTTTATTCTATGAAATACCTGTAAAATGTATTGTTTATATCACAACAAAAACAACACCAACAAAACTAAATGTTACGACACCAATCACACTTAAATGAACAACAGTGGCTGTGGGAGCAGCAACAGCAGCAACAGCAGCAACAGCAGCAACAACAGCAACAATAGCAGCAACAACAGCAGCGGCAGGAGTGAATTTAATTGAATTAAATTGCTTTGCATATTGCAACATCAATTGGCCAATTAAGCAGGGAAAAAATTGACGTCAAAAAAGAAGGGTTCGACAATAATTTTTACAGTGAAACATTTGTTTGCTTTCAATCACTTTTCGTCACGAACTAGTCAACAACCAACAACAACAACAAACATCAACTGCAGGAAAAAAACAAAAACAAAAAATGCATTTCTTTTTTAGGTGGCATATCAAATCAAATAAAATTTTTATTGACAAAGTTCACAAAAAATGAATGCCAAAAAGACCACGGACACTCCCTACGGTATCATAATTGAATATTGATATAGCACAAAGCTTAACGGGAACTAAAAAATCTAATGATAAAAGATTTTACATATACTTCAGATATCAGATAGACGACTGCTGTATAATGCACCAACAAAATCATCATATATAGCAGAGGAGTTGATGCCAGAGATCACGACTGAAAACTTTCTTTTAAAATGTATTTCATTTTGGCTTTATCTGGTTGAATATTCATTATGCAAATAAAGCAATAGCATTAGAATAAAGAGAAAAAAGTACTTCAACAAGTACTGATGAAATATCGATACATCGGGATTAAGGCAAGTCACGTACTTTATAAACTTAACCGTAATAAATCAAATTCGTAACGGCTTCTTTAACGGAAAAAACTTTTAAGTCCAGACATCTTACAAAGATAACTACACTAAAATCAAAAAATAAAAATTTTTTTAATTAATAGTAAATATATTATATCGCAAAATACACATTAGGTTCCAGTACATTTACGTTTCCATATAGATTTTAATAATAGATTTTGATAATATAATTTTCTGTTACCTGGGTGGACCAGTACTTCCTCAACCAATTTTTGCAATCTGCCTTAGTCTGATACTAAGTTTCTCCAATCGCCCACGCGTAGCTTCA